GGCACATTTGAGCCATTCGATTTTGCTCGATGCTGGCATCCAAGCCTAACTAGCCTGTGGAGCAGCAGGCCTGGGGCTATTCATTGGCCATGCCCTTAGGAAATCTCCGAAGAAGATCCTCAAAGTGCCAACATATGTCCGGACTGCGGTTTCTGGACCACTTTTGCCATCCAATGGGGTCCCATAAATGTTGGTGGGGCAGTTCACATGTCCGTTTTTCAGTATATTGGAAGCAAACATGCCGGTGCTTTGTGGGAGCCAGGACATCCACATGTCCAACCAAAAACAAGCATGTGGCCTCCTCTCTCCTCCCAGCCGCACACCATACACATATCCAAACAAAAGCGACCACGTCACCCCCTCTCTCCTCTCTCTCTTCTCTCAACTGGACAAACGAGGAATTTTTTGGGACATCGTTGATGGTTCCGTCCCGTTTCCTGACCACAGATATGTCCCAGACGTGTTCGCGGACATTTGCGATGTCAATTTTGAGGGGTGCGTTAGATGCCCTTACCCTTTCTCTCAATCGTGCTCGTGCTCTCGCAATCCCACGGACAATCTCCGGCGACGCCCCCACACATGCAGCCAACCGGCACGCTCTGCGTCACCACATCCATTGAGGCCAACTTTGTGTAGTGGTTTCTCTCGGAGTCAAAACCAGAGGAACCGCCGCCGCTCCTCACCTCGACCCCCTCCATCTCGATCCCGTCCCTCCGGATCTGATATAGGCGAAGAAAAATTGTCATGGGTAGAACAGTAAGAAAAATCACTACACAAAAATAACTTTGCAAAAAATTAACAAAAAAATGTAATCCTCAAGGTCAATATGTGGCATCTGCCACACGAAATGTAAAACAACGATATTTACAAAGTGATCTGGAAAAAAAAAAGTGATTTCAGTGAGAGTGTTTTTTTTTTCCGTTGGTGCATGATCTGATGGCCAGTGACAGAATTTGCAGATTTGTACAAGTTGTGCCATTCTCATCCTATCATGCTCCAACTTAACTTCAGTCACAAGGCCATCACTAGGTATTGCACGGATATAGATATGTAGAAGGCTTTTTTTAGAGTACACCTAGGCGTTCCAATTTTTATAGAAGGCAGAAATCAAATACAAGAGGCTACAACTTTGCTGCGAACAACAAATGTAGCAAAAACACCACACCCAAGCTAATCAAAAGATTAGCCACCACAATAAAAGCAGACACAATGCAAAGGGCCTGTCCTAAGCAGACCGACAAGCCGCGTCTCGACTAACACCGGTCACCCCAAAGAGCAACAGCTTTCACTAAACTTTCCTCGTCGACGCACCAACCACCCTTAAGTGCCTAAGAAGAGACGGTGAGTGGGTAGCGGGACTTAGTTGAACTCGAGAAAGTCATCATCTTGGGCTCACTAGCAGTTGTGTACATAGCACCCATGAAGATCCACTCTGACCAGCAGCAAGCACCCAAGAACCACATCAAAGGACCTCCAAGCCAAGTCTCCACCCACCATGCTTCCAACGAAGTAACGACACCATGATGCCGCCATCGCCGGTCCACCATCGAACCTTTGGCTTTCGCCCGGGGACAATACCCCAATAAAGAGAGGAGAGATGCCGACACACATCAGCGGTGCCTCCAAGGAGGAAAGCGACACCCACGAGCACCGTCACCGCCAGCCCGATGTCGTACCCAAACTGTCGCGGAGAAACCAGCACAGCTGAGGAAACGCGGTCCAACACCACTCCAACACGGGGCAAGAACACGAAGCCCCTTCTATCCTCCATCACATCAGCACCACACCACGAGCAGCTCCTTTCATACTCCAACACCAGCACCAGCACGACCAGGTCGCCTGCACCACAAGCAGCTAGTCCATCACTCCAGGCGGACAGCCTCGTCGCGACCACAAGTGGCCATGTAGGAGACTCAACGTCTGTATTAGACGTAGTATTTGTCGACATCACTGTATCGATGCGACAGTAGAACTCATGCGTTGCTGGATTCGTGATATTTACGATGCTAAATACTAACTGTGTATGCGTGTGAAGTGTGACACCCAGCTGGATATAATGGACATACACCATATCATCGGCAAGCATCGGTCGGTCAAGCTTCGTAGGTCCATCTCGAACAGCAGCCTTATTTTTAGGCACGAGACATTTCTAGGACACAAGGGATAAAAACCATGGTTTTAAATAGCTCGCTATAGCTCCGCTATAGCACGCTATAGCGTTTAGAAGAGGTCATGTGCTAAGGGTTTTTGTCCAAACACATGAGCAAACATTTTAAATAGCTCGCTATAGCACCGCTATAGCACGCTATAGCATCTAAAAAAGGTTCGCCGCTAAGAGGCTTAGCGCGTTATTTAAAACCTTCATAAAAACCAGTCTTCAACTGCTGCCCAATCTTTACTTTTTTGCTAAAAAAAATTATGTAGCCAAAAAAAGAGGATCCTCGTGCAGTAAATCCGGGGCACTTGGGCAACTGCCCAAAAACATGAGGTTACTTGCCGACGCCCCCCTGCGGTTGAAAGCCCTCGGATCTGTCCACCCATCAGTCGCCGCACGCCATAGCCTGCTCCTCCGACCCCAAGGCCGACCCTGATATGCTCACCGTCGCTCCCCCATGCTTTAGGGCAGATGTTGGAACAGTTTTGCCCAATTTCCTGTCAAAAAAGCATTTGTGTGCTCTATTATAGCGTTGTTGTTGGAGATGGCACTTGTTCGTGCCAAAAAAAAAAACATTTTTGTGCCCTAAATTTTTTATTTCATCATGTTTTAGTGCCCAAACTAGGGCTGCCTTTGGAGATGCTCTAAAGGTATGTTACATGTACTGATGTACGCGACCCCTTTCTTGACCAAATCATCATATTTTCCACGAAAATCAAACCTCTTCATGCATCGCTGCAAGAGCTAGCTAAACATGCATAATCTTTTAAATAAGAACTCCTGCATGCATCTTTTGCCTCCGTATTTTTGTTTGAAACAAAGAAAACAATTGAATGCAGATCGAGCAGAACCCTTCTCGGGAGCTGAACGGGAACAAAATTATGGCTGAAAGCTAGCTAGGTAAGCAACTACATTGAGGAGATCAACATCTGTAGAAGATCTAAAAAGATCAACATTAGTTTCGACAAGGTCGCGTCTCTATCGTGAACAAGATTAGTGGAAGATCACCGAACAGAGCAGTAGTAAGTACCAAGCATCCAAATGCATATGATATAAAGAAAACATTCAAATGCATACAACAACCCCTTCCCACCCTCCCGGGTCGCTCCCCTCCCGGGCGGCTCCTAAGGCCATCCCCACTGATCTCTCTAGGGTCCCCTACAATATGTGTCCCCTGCTGTCGCTGCTGCCGACGCCGGCGGCGGTGGCGGCGCCCATCCCGTCGAAGACGGTGGGCAGGGGAGGTGTTTCCTCGGCAACGTCACACGGGAGGAGGTGGGGCGCTGTTTCAGGGCATGGGGCGGCGCGGCCGTCTTGGCCGATGCCTGAGGATCCAGGCGGGGTAGCGTCGAGGGGGAGGTGGTGCGCCGCCGCAGCGGCCGTCTTTGGCGTGCGAGCTGGATCGCCCGGTCTCGATCTAGGCTATGGATCCGATCTGGGCCATGGATCCGATCTGGCCATGGGGATCTAGTCAAGGCTTGTGCTACAGGGTAAGCAGGTTGTGGCCTTGGCCACGCCGCCGACGACATGCAGTTGCTAGCTGGGCTGTCGTCTCCTCATCTGTCGTTCATGCTGGGTCATGACTCGCGGTGTGGGGGCTTGCGAGTCTTTAGATTAGTGGTGGTGGTCCTAGCATTCTTCTCGCATCAGGGCAACATTCAACGTGTCTGCTCCTCTTCGATCTGGCCATCAGATGTGTTCCGGGTCTTCTGCCAGAAATCTTCTCGGTTTGGCTTATGAAGCTCCTGGATATCTGGATAGGATGGAATGCGGTCGTGCGCACACATATCCGCCTGCGTGGCTTCATGATGGTGTGGCACGAAGCTCCGCTGGTTGTCGAAACCATGGGACATGTCGGCATCTCGATTTCCATGGTCTATACTGCGGTGGAGAAGGTCATGGTAGCTAAGATTGGAGGACCAGTGTTGGCAGAGACCTCCAAGGCGCTGAAGATTTTGCTTCACGGGGGCCGGTGATCCAATTTGGATTTGGTAACTGGAGCCTGGTGTTTGATGATTTGCAGTAGCAGCCTTGGCAAGTGGGGGCGGTAGCACTGGAGGAATTCAAGTTTGATGGCGCTTCTCAAGTGCCGAGTGTTCACTTTCAGGGTGAAAACCTAAGGCCTGACCTTCATTAGTTGCGCCTGGCAATGGCCTTGCTGAAGGAATTGTTTTGAGAGCTCATGCTTTCTCCAGGATGAAAACCTAAGATCTTCCATCAGGCGACGATGGCGCTTGTGCACTGTTTCCCTCCTTGGAGGCGTGGCCTTTGGAGAACGTTTTTGTATTCCGGGTGTTGTCTTTGGTGTTAGTTTTGTTGGGTTGCTGCTGCGAGGAGTTGATTACCATGGCGGGGCCTTTTTTTCCTTTTCTTCTTCCTTTTTTCCTTCAGGATGTGTGCATCCTGAATGTCGTTTGTGACATTTTGTTGGTGCTGAGGCTGGGTGTAATTGCTATCTCCACGATATTAATATACGCTCTTTTTCAAAAAAAAAAATGCATACAACAGATCACGTAACAGTAACACCACCCCGCAAAAAAAAAATTTAACCACCCTAACTAGCTATGTGTGCCCTGGAAGTTGGTAACACTACCCTTGCTTTTGTTTGGCCTCCTTCTTATTATCCCGGTCAGATCATTGCTTCCCTTCCGCCGCTGGAGATAAAATAGATGTGTTAATATTGCAGATGTATATTTCTCAACAATTAGGCCAATTTCTCAACAATTAGGCCAATTTCTCAACAACGAGGCCCAAACATAGTACTCCTTTTATCTGAAACTATTTGTCGTTCAAATGGGTGTATCTGCAACCAGGTAGAGAGAGTACATACCTGATGCTGTTGCTGTTGTATTCCCGGCCTTTCTTCTCACCACCACCAGCACGGCTACGGCTACAGCGACGATGAAGCCAATGCACACAGTCAGGACGATGTGACCCTTTACGATCCTCCCTACAGCGCGGCGCATCACAAGTTAGAGACAGAATCGCCATGAAATTTACCGGCTGGAGTTTTGTAGACTGTAGCACTACTCACGAATCTTCTCTCCCAGGGGCGGTGATGATATCTCGAAGCGGAGGTAGCAGTTCGAGCCGAGAACCGCCTGCACGGTGCTGGCGCTGCGCGTGAGCCCCCAGCTCCTGGCCATCTGCAGCGATGAGTCCTGCAGGCACCGGGCGCACTCCGCTGGGGCGCGGTCCGTGGCGCACTGTGCCAGCACGCGCACCGTGTCGCCGTTGCTCGCCGTAGACGTCGCGTCGGCGGCTGCCACCTGGCCGTTCACGGACCGCGGGACCAAGGACCGCGCCACGGCCACGAGCTTCAGCGCGTCGCCGGCGTCGACGCGCGGGATGGTGTGGCCGGAGAATGTCACGCCACTGATGGCGTTGTCGTCAGCGCCTGCGGAGGACGCGTTGGTGTCGGCGTAGCCCAGGAAGCAGCCGTCATTCAGGAAGCCCGCGCGCCGGCTAGCGTCGTCGTACAGGTCGGTGATCTTCCTGCCGACGTCGGACAGGCAGCGGAAGCACGAGTCCGGCGCGGGGTCGCCGAAGCAGAGGCCGCGGGCGAACGAGCCGCCGGTCCGCATGGAGGCGAAGCCCGTCCACGCGGCGACCGAGGGGAGGGCGTCGAGTAGCGAGAGGAGATCGCGGCGGAAGAACGCGCTGGTGCTGCCGTTGACAGTGGGCGTCGGCGGCGGATAGCACCTTGTCACGATCATCGCGGAGGTGCCGGTGCCCGCCGTGATGGCGACGAGGGAGAGGAATAGGAGAAGGCGGCGGGAGAGCGCCATGGGAGTTGGCAACTCCGGGATGGCAGTGGTGGAGACTAGGAGGAGCCGAGGAGAGTGCAGCGGCGCTCGAACAAACTGGTCTAGCTAGCTGTAAGAGAATTGGTGGAATCGTTCGAGCCCTCGTGGGGAAGGGCTCTATATTGTGGGGAAATACCGAATGGTTCCTGGGGACATCTGTCCCCGGAATCTCGCCATTCATTCAGACGTGATCTCCAACCCGCCTACTAGTATACTTTGACTTTCTGTTGTATTATCTCTTTCTCTGTTTCGTATTAGATGCCTTCGGACAGCAGCGGCCCACCCTCATTTAACCAACGGTAGTTGCTACTCACCGGCCGGCCAACTGACCCTGACACGCATTAACCAACTTAGCTTTTTAGTGCATTTGCCTGCTACTTGTTGTCTCAACAGGGTCGACAAATTTTGAGTAACCTAACGAAGTCCTTAAGTACAACTGTGTACTCTAAATGCGACCAGATATATTAATCAGTCTACTGTTCATTTCATATTATTCGCCAACATCTTCCCACCATTTGCCTACTCCACACACATTTAATTTATAAAAACTGATTTCAAAACAGTACATCATTTTCTAAAAAAAATCATGTTAAAGTAACCCCCCCCCCCCAAAAAAAAAAATTGTATCTGTATATATATTATGAAGGGTATAGATATTGAAATGTTAGGGAAATGATATGTAGTAATAAAATTGATGCCGCATGTTAAGAAAAAGTTCATACATACCAGGAAATACTTTAACCCTATATAAAAAAATTACATACTTTAGAGAAAAATTACCCGTTGTTACAGAAATTTTCCTATGTTCTGGAAAATATCATGATAGTTTGAAAAAATGTTCATTAAATGTTAATGAAAAAAGATGCTCGTTACATGTTAATGGAAAAATGCTCATCTAGAAATAAATGCTCATTACCCGTTGACTGCTCCATTACATGTAACATGACCAGGAATATATATTCGTATTCTAAAAAAATATTCATATTCTAAAAAAAAGAATATAGATTCTGATACGAAGAGTAAGAAAATATTCAATTAAAACATAAATGAATATAATTTTGCCATGCTTGTCTATCCATCGCATCACCTTTTTACTAGTTTCACTTAAGGCTACTGCTGGACACAGCTGCTACAGTGCTTCATCTGCCACCTTTCCAATGTCGGGGATAAAGTTGCCGTGTCTTAGTAGCAGAACATTTAACAGCAGTGGCTGCAAAACGCGTCTTGGTACTGTGCGGGATGCTGTCCTCTCATGTGGCAAGCGACGTATAGCACTGTTCTTCTCAAGTATATTCCACTTTCACACATGCACTGCCTTCCGTATATAATAAATCGCTACTTTAGCTACACATCACGATGCACTTATTGATGATCTAGATATCGGGGACATATAGTGCCAGGGACCAAACGTCCGCCTCCCTATATTGTGTATATATATATAGTGGAGTATATGTCTTGAACGACAAGATGTCTTGGTCGAGAGAAGGTAGGACAAAAGATATACTATCAAATACTCTGATACTAGTCACCAAATTAATACACATATACTACCAAATACTCTTGACAATAATGCTAGACCTACAAAGACCTACAAAGGTTTACTTAACCTTCCAAACGAATTCTCTCTCCCTCCCTGATTTAGGGGTGGGCCCCCTCATCCCCGAGTAATGCTAGATCCTAGTCAGCGTGCAAAGGTATGTAAACCTTTGTATGTTAAGCATTATTGCCTCATCCCCCCTATTACCAATCATAATCCTTCACATTAGTTTGTACGTAAAATCTTTAGTCACCAAGGACCAGCGCCCGCGTCTCGTAAATAATGTATGCCCGGCAGCTCGTGTTCGATGCTATCGCGGAACCGATTTGTAAAGGGTGAAGCGCTGCGTGGTTGCTATGCATTTTTCTGCATTGCTATTCTAAGAAAGGAGAGGACGACACGACCCTTGGGTGAGCTTAGAGCATCTTCAGTAGTTGCCCTACTCTAGGGTACAAAAAGAAAGTTGTTGGAGTAAAATTTAGGGCACTCAAAATTGTTCTTCAATAGCTGCCTATTTTAGGGCGGTCAAACATGCTAAAACATTATTTTAAACGAACAACCAAACTACTTGATCACATTGCATACTAAATCGCTTCAAACTTCCAAACATCAAATTGAACAACATAGTCTACAACATATCAAATTTAAGATCAAATCCACATGTCAAATTAAAATTGGTGCCCTAAATACTTTGCCTTCTTCGACTATCAATCAAATATGTTAAAGCAGAGTTCTAATATCAGAAAAAGAGGAGGGATTCCAAGAAACCCGAAGCCAAGATCTGACGCAAGACCAAACTAATTTGGCAAGTACACAGTTGAAAAAGATGTGGTCGGAATTTTCCAAGGCCCCACACAGGTTACAGAATTCAGAGCCCGGCCCATTGCGTTTTTTGATCTGATCAGCAGTAGGGAAGCGACCACGAAAGGCCTGCCAAAGAAAAATCTTAATTTTCGGAGGAACCCTTGATTTCCAGACACAAGAGAATCTAGCCGAGGGGGTACCACCAATGAGTCTAGAATACAACGACTTAACAGAAAATTTACCAGAGGCCGAAAGTGGCCAAAACACCAAGTCAGCCGACTCTGAGAGCACGGGGAAGAGGGCAGAGAGGCTTTGCCAATCTTCCAACTCTTCAGGAGACAGAGCCCGACGGAAAGCCAAATCCCAATTATTAGCAGCCAGCTCCGCGATGGAGATCTGCGGATTGGGACAATAAGAAAACAGAATCGGAAAGCTCACGGCAAGTGGGGCATCCCCAGACCACCAATCCAACCAAAAACGAACAGCAGACCCATTCCCCACAGAAAACTTGACATGCTCCAAAAAAATCGGCCTAACTTTAATAAGAGCTTTCCAGAACTGAGAACCACGCCGCGCGGGAGCAAACATAGGATTGGAGTGGGGGAAATATTTGGTCTTAAGAATCGAAAACCACAATGACCCAGCCCCCACAGTCATAATTTTCCACCACCACTTGATGAGCAAACACATGTTCATCACCCGAGTGTTAATAATGCCTAACCCCCCAAGGTTTTTAGGCCTACACATCAGTTGCCACTTAACCAGCCTATATTTTCTTTTGTTATCAGCTGAATTCCAGTAGAAGCCACCCCTATGTTTGTCGAAGCCAGAATGCACGCTATTCGTGAGAAGATAGAAGCCCATAAGAAACATAGGGAGAGAAGACAGGCAAGAATTGATTAAAGCCACTTTGCCTGCATTGGTATTATATCTACCCCTCCACGGGAGCACCCTGTTTCCTACTTTAGCAACCACCGGAGCGAAGTCCTTCGCATGAAGGATACCAGGAGATATAGGAAGTCCTAAATACTTGAAAGGGAAAGAACCTAAAGCGCAATTAAGGAGCCTGGCAACCCGCAAGGCTTCCGCCCCGTCCACACCCGTCACCAGAACCTCACTCTTGGCGAAATTGATCTTCAGACCCGAAACAGCTTCGAAACACAGCAAGATGAATTTAAGATTGGCAATACAGGCATTATCCAACTCCACCAATATGATTGTATCATCAGCGTATTGCAGATGGGAGACACCTTCCGGCAGAAGATGGGAGATCACGGGGGTAATGTGCCCACAACGGGCCGCCTTGAAGAGCATGCAAGAGAAGGCGTCGGCCACAAAGTTAAAGAGAGCCGGGGAGGCTGGATCCCCTTGGCGAAGGCCCCTGCCATTCGCAAAGAAGTTACTAATAACGCCATTCACAGCAACAGCAGTATGGCCACCCGAGACCAACTGCATGATACGATGGACATAAGCACCGTCGAACCCTTTGGCAAGAAGGACCTGCTTGAGGAAAGGCCAACTGACCGAGTCATACGCTTTTTCAAAGTCTAACTTAAGAATAACCGCTTTAGCTTTCCGCGCGTGAAGGTCGTGAACAATCTCATGAAGGGAAAGAATGCCATCTAGAATGAATCGCCCTTTGATAAAAGCAGATTGAAAGGGGCTAATAACTCTATGCGCAACCGGGGACAGCCGATTCGCAAAGCCTTTGGAAGGGAATTTGGCAAAGTTGTTAATCAACGCTATAGGCCGAAATTGGGAAATAACATCAGCACCCTTGACCTTCGGAATCAGGGATATTACAGCGTAATTCAGACGAGAGATATCGACAGTCCCAAGACAGAAACCCTGAATAACGCTACACACCAACTGTTTCAACTGGGGCCAAAATCTCCGAAAGAAAGGAATGGAAAAGCCATCTGGCCCAGACACTGCATTGGGGTTAGCAAAATTAACCACGTCCCAGATTTCCTGATCAGAGAGCGGGATCATCAAGGAGGCATTCTCCTCGAGGGAAATTTTAAGACCAGAACTCCAAAGGTGGGGGGAAATGGACAAGCCCGATTGAGGTTTAGCCCCTAACAAAGACGAGAAGAAATCCACTACATGAGCTAGAATCACCGACTGATCAGAGGAGCGCACACCATTAATCATCAGACTGTTAGTGTCACAGCGCCTACGCCTACCGTTCGCAATCGCAAAAAAATATGCAGTAGGAGCGTCCCCTTTGAGTGTCCAATTAAGAGTGCCCCTCTGGCGCCAGTAAATCTCAGCCTGATGGTGCAGCTGCAAAAGTGCAGCCTCCAGATTATAACGAACGGCCCATCCATCGTCAGAGAGCCCAATAGAGTCAGCAGTACGATCCAGCTCCAGGATCTGATTTTCAAGAAAGGCTTTGGAGCGTCGATCCTCGGCCGCACGGTTACGCGACCACCCTCTAAGAAATTTGCGAAGGGAATAGGAGCAAGAATGCCAGTCATCTAGAGGGCCAAAGGAGCGGAGGTTGGAGGAAAGGGAGTGGGAAATTTTCGCAGCGACCATATCGACAAAGCCGTCAACCGACAGCCAAGAAGCATCAAACTGAAATCTAGCCGGAGGTCTATTGCATATGGAACCATCATCAAGAATCAAGGGGGTATGA